ATATATATATGTGTGTGTGTGTGTGTGTGTGTGTGTTTTTATAATTCTATTAAGTAGTAGTAAACGGTACTAAGCAGTAGGCCATATATCTCAATACTAAAAGCATCAAGAGCTGAAACAGAGGTGTGAGTTTTAGGGTCAAAGGAAGATGGGAAGGAGAAGAGAACTTGGCAAAAGAGAGAGATTTCAATGTGCCCATATCAAGAAAGTTTATATTGTAGTCAAATGTCAATTGGATGAGGTACACTTCTATTTAGAAAATAAATTTACTTTAGACATTGTACGTAAATTTTATAAGTTAGCCTCATATATAAGTAATGTGTTAGAAGGTGCTCATATTGCAAAATGCACATTTATTTTCTATCATTTGTGATTAAATAATTACGCATCATTTTAAATAATTAAAAGTACGAATTTGAAGTATTTGGACTACACTAATATTTAATTAAAATGTTAAATTTTAAAATAGGCCAATTGGCACTTATAACCCATAGATTTCTGCACATAATTGAAATACTAGTTAAATATGAATAATACAAGTATTCAAATGTTCAGAAAATGAAAATAAATTGAGTTTAATAAAATTCATGATATTTGGAATAAGTTGATAATGATATGTTTATGATAATCAGAATGAGTGGCGTGACAAAAGGTGAGCCCGTATGGAGAGAAAGGGGTTCTTAAGTTAATATGTTTATGATAGCTTGTATAGATAGGACTGTCAAGCTGAGCCCACATGAAGGTAATGGTTCTCAAATTAATATGCTTATTATAGCTTACATAGAAAGTGATAAAGGTGATCCCATATGAAGGCAAACTTGTCCTAAAGTTGATATGTTTATAATATATTGCACAAGCTCACAAGTAAGAAGTCCTCAATGTGTAACCTTTGGGCTCATTTTCACCCTATGATACGTGGGGTGGGTCAAATATAGTCCCCTACCTTTAAATTGCCAGTAAACTTAGATCCATATACATTACATTCTAAAACTAAAGTAAGATAACTCCTAGTACAAATAAATAAATGAAAATAAAATAAATAGTTAAAAAAATTAGTCTTTTATATTGATGCGTATAAGCTTAACTGACATAATGCATCTTATGATAGAGACATTGATAGATTATATAGGTCGCAAATTTGTACCAAGGATGCTGGAGAAAGCCTGTATAAGATGTTGGCGCTTGTGCTTCCATTGCACCTAAAGTATCTCCATGATAAGATCCACGGAGAGCTAGAACCTGAGCAAAAGTTATAACAGGTAAAAATTTTAAGAGAAATCAGTTGCTGCACGGTTATTGAAGCACAAGTGTTGCATTCAATTTCACATATGCTGTCAATGATCAGCATTTCCTTCAACTTCTACAGGATTTCGGTATGTTTGTCCTTGTTCATTAAATAGAAAAAAATTCTGAGGATGATTAAATGCAATCCAAAGTGAAGAGGTGTTCATCCGTCAAAAAAATTACTTATTTGTAAGCAGACAGAAAAAAATAAAACTACCAGCATGAGTAACTCCATCTCCGCATAAGCGAATGGGCAACTCATCGGCATATAATATTATTATAAAGCAAGGACAGCTAGTGGGATGTAGATAGGGTGCCAACAGAAAATGGATACAAGTTTTAGAAGGCACAGATTGCACAAAATGCACGTGATTTAAAAAATATGTAGAGTTATTGACGCGGGACTGTTTACAGCCGCAGGTCCAAGCGGGGCGAATGAACCAGTCTAGCCTTCCGGCTAGACCGGGGCCGGTGCATTCTACTTAATGGCGGGCATTCCACCTCGCCTTATTTTCCCTCTGTGCTTGATTCACTCGCCTCTTCTTCTCCCATGCCCTAGTTCCCGCCAATCCAAGCCGTTGCAGCTAGCTATTTCTCCCTTCCATTTTTTCACCTCCTTCCTTCCTAGGATCTTGCCTTTGCCTCCTATTTATGCATGTTTCTTTTTTCTTAGGTCTAATCAGCTTTTATGTGATTTCTAGTTTCAGGTTTGCCACGACGGTATTCCCCTCCCGAGGGGTTGTATCCGACGGCGAGAGGTGCTTCGGCTATAGATAGCCTAAGGTGGTGATTACCCCACTCTACCATCACCGCCAACCACTCCTAAGCCTCCTCTAGCAGGCCGTAGAACCCTACATTCCCTCCCAGCTCCTATCCAGACGCTGCCTTCCATTTCTGCGCCTCCTCCAGTCAGCAGCAACACCTCCAAATTCCATTCAGTCCTCCTCTAGCCGCTGCCTTCCATTCCTGCGTCTCCCCCGTCAGCCGCAGCGCCTCCAGATCCTCCCAACACCACTCGACGCTTCCCCATCCCTTCCGGTGGAGTCTCGGCCACCACTCGGCGTTGTCCTGAAATGTTCCTACCCTTTTGTAGTACTTGTTTTATTACCTATTGAGTAGTTACTTCTTGTGTTATCATGCACAAGTTTGTATTTTATTTCGTCCAAGAGTCCATGTTGTACTTCCTTCGAAATCAGCAAAAAAATTGTCGTATGAGCCATAGTTTGGGTTAACTCCGGCATCATTTGGTATCAGAGTTAGCTCAACATTAGTCCTATCGTAGGGTTCCCTAGTATCCGCCCCCACCCCAGCCACCCAAAACTTTTTTTTCTTCTTTCTTTACTTTTCCTCTTCCTTATTTTCCCTTGTTTTCTTATCTTCTCCCTCTTTCATCTCTTGCTTCTTTTCCCAAACACTTCTGATTATGCCGCCACGTCGATATGAGCCAAACCCAACCCGTGAAGAAATACAACGAGAGATTTGTCACTTGCAACAACGATTGGCTAAGATGGACGAAGGGATTCAAGACGACATTACTCTCAATTGGGACATCGAGAGTCGAACAGGAGACCGCAACAACGACCTAAATCCGTTTCAACGTGATGATGCAAGCGATGACGAATATTGACCACACCGCTTTGACAATCACTATTAAAGGAGACCACGAGAGGAGCCCACGTTCAGCACCCATCGGGATTTCGACATCAAAACAAACCTACCGCAATTCGACAAAAGCATGGAGTATGAAAACTTCATCGACTTGTTACGAGCAATCGAACACATCTTTAATTACAAGGAGGTACTGACAGATAAACCAGTAAAGCTTACCGCCATCAAACTAAAGAATAGCACTTCGTTATGGTGGGACAACTTGCAATGGCAATGATAACGCAACGGGGACAACAATATCACTAAGTAGGAAAAAACGAAAAAGACAATACCTGTCATCCCACTATCGTCAGGATATGTTCCTCCGGTTCCACAACATGCACCACCGTTATCTATCGATTGAGGAATTCATGACACAATTTGATCATACACAGATGAAGTGTGACTTGGTCGAGCAAGAGCAGCACACAATCGTCCGCTATCTCAGAGGTTTAAAACCCACCATTAGCAACATTTTACAACTCCAGCCATATTGGATTCTAAATGATGTCTAGACCCTCACATTAAAAGTAGGACAACAAAATCAAGCTAAGTCTCAAAACTTCTTCCGACAGACTTAGACATTCAAACCATCACCTCAAGCCACGTCTACCAACAAGACCACGTCGAAAGCTGGCAAGTCACTACTAAGAAACACAAAAACCACCATGAGCAGCGCAAAACCTGAAAAGGGAACTTCCTTTGGGACAATTCCTACACGAAACTGTTTTAATTGTCATAGGTACGACCACATACCTGCCAAATACCCCACCACCCGTGTTGTCTCATTTACTGAAGAAGCCATCATTAAGGAAGCCCAATCTAAGGATGTTTTAGAACAAGCACTACCCCTCCTCGAAGGTTGATGCAAACTATTGGTCATACGGAAGGTCCGCTAGTTAGAACTCGAAAGAGACCCTTCATGGCTACGACACAGCATCTTTCGCACATGCACAACAAAAAGCAAAATCTGTATTTTGATCATCGATGGCGGTAGTTGTGAAAATGGTGTATTCACCCTAATGGTTAAGAAGTTAGGTTTAGCCACACAAAAACATTTGTGATCATACTTTCTCACCTTACTCAAAAAAGAGAATGAGGATACCATGCCTAGTTGAATTATCCATCGACAATCAACTACAATAGCAAGTTTAGTGTGATGTAGTCCCAATGGAAGCATGGCACATTCTTCTGAGGATACCATGGCAATTCGACCGAAGAACACAACACGATGGCTACAATAACACCTATACATTCAAGAAAGATGGAAATCATATCATGTTATTGCCCATAAAAGATGTGACGGCCACGACATAAGAAGCATTAATCTCCTGGGTGACCTTGTAATCAATTCGTGACACGTCGATAGCACTAACTCTGGTCAAGCAGTCCTCCTAGAAGGTATCAACAAGGATAATGAAACATTCACACAACTTAAAGCATTGCTACACGATTTCTAAGATGTTATGAACGATGATCTCCCAGATGGATTACCTCTACTACTGGACATCCAACATGCCATCGACCTCATACTAAATAAACCTGCCTACCGATTACAACCCGCAGAGTATGAAGAACTCCAATGTCATGTGCAGGATCTTGTTAAGAGAGGGTTAGCACACGAAAGCACCGTCCATGTGTTTTACCCAAGCTCATAGTACCGAAGAAAGATGGCTCCTGGGGGATTTGCATTGACAGTCGTGCCATCAGCAAAATTACAATCAAATATCACTTTCCCATAACACGACTCGACAATCTCTAAGATCACTTATATGGCATCATCGTCTTCTCAAAAATTGACCTACGGAGTAGATATAAACAAATTAGAATGAGACCGGGAGACGAGTCGAAGACTGCCTTTAAGGCACAAGATGTTTTTTATGAATGAACAGTCATGCGTTTCGGCCTATCCAATGTGTCCATCACTTTCATGTGTCTAATGAACCAAGTTTTTTGAACCCATATTGGGAGATTCGTAGTTGTCTACTTAGATGATATTTTGGTTTATAGTAAATCTGAAGAAGACCACATGCCTACAGGAGGTATTCGAAGTTTCACGATCCGAACAACTATACGCCCACCCCAAGAAGTGTCACTTGCTCACAAACCAAGTATATTTTTTGGGCTACACTGTTTCTAGCAGGGCAATACAAATGGACCCAGCAAAAATCAAGGCAGTCATAAGTTGGACAATGCCGCAATCTTTCACCGAGCTTCAACAATTCTTAAGGGTAGTCTCCTTCTATCGAAGATTTGTTTGCACCTTCAGCATTATCACCGCCCCGTCACAGAGTTGTTGAAATGAAAAGAATTCACATGGGCGGTCACAGCACAGACCAGATTCGACATATTGAGAGAAAATATCACTCAAGCCTCAATTCTTGCCTTATACTCGATTTCAAACAACCATTCAAGCTTGAGTGTGACGCTTTCGGCGTAGGCATCAGGGCTATACTAAGTCAAGGTGGTCACCCCATAACTATTCCAGCCAAAAACTAAATGTGATTCAATAAAAATATTTCACCTACGACAAAGAATTTTATGTCATTATTAGAGCTCTAAAACACTGAAATCATTAACAACTCACAATCGAGTTCACCCTCTTCACGAATCAAGAAGCTCTAAAATGTTTAAATAGTAAAAACAACTCAAAGGGCGTGCCACGCTATATGGGTAGAATTCTTAGCATCCTTCCAGTTCATACTCAAACACAAAGCCAAAAATCAAAACCACGTCGCGGACGCTCTAAACAGTCGTCGCCTCTTGATCACATCCTTGCAGACGCACGTGGTAGGCTTTGAAGTTATAAAAGACTTATACGAGACAAATGAAGACATCCAGGAAATCTGAGAACAGTGAATGGAGAAACCTCATAGGCAATTCTACAAAACGGACAGCTAATTATTTTGCAACAACAAATTATGCATACCCTGATGCTCACTACGCGAAGCTATATACAGGAGAACCACAATAACGGATTGGCAGACCATTTTGGCAGAGATAAAACTTTCGCACTCGTGAGAGAACATTTTATTTGGCCCCGACTAACACGAGACATGGAGCAACACGGCTGACAATGTAAGATTTATCATATTGCCAAACCCCACGGCCAAAATGCATGATTGTACACACCTTTATTAGTCCCTGAAGCGCCTTTGGGCGATGTCAGCATAGACTTTATCATAGGACTAACAGACACAAAAAACAAGGACTGTCATCGTCCTAGTTGACCGTTCCTTAAAAACGACTCATTTTGTTGTCTACCACTAGACGTTAGATGAAGGTCATAATGTCGATTTGTACTTTCG